GGCAGCCCACATAATGTTCTCCTGACAGGTGTATTTTATTTATTATTATATATATATATATATCTGCTTGGAGCTCAGACTTGATGGAAACATCCTGAGGAAATGCGAAGGCTGCAATTGCTGCTCTCCTTCTGAATATGCAGTTTGCAGGATATGCAGCTTTACACTTGCTGCAGCCATGGCAAAAATGAAGCAGCATGTTGCATTTAGCGGGCAGTAATACTGCCGAACACAACTTATTTAGACGTATAGGGCAGTTCTACATCCGTTCTGCAACACGTGTAAAGCATGCGGTTGCAAAGTCAAATGCATCTGATAAGCAGTTAATCATGGATCACTTTTTAGATGTGCGACAAGGGCTGCTGCATGTTTGAATAAGCCCTGAGAACCCGAACGTCTACAAGCTGGGTACACCTGTCATGTAAATGATGCTGGGGAGAAAAGCGTGCTGGGTACCTATGGAAAGAGTTAGTGTCGCTATGTGGATCAGAGTTTAAACTGTATCTGTCAGCAAATTCTTTCCATTTATTGTGTGCTGGAATTGTCCAGAGATTGTATAAAATACCGTTTACACTTTCTAGAAAGAAGCTCTTTGTTACAAGCACCAACAAAGCCTCTTTGTTACATACAGAAAAACTTTCCCCTGCTTCATGTTCCCGGTGTACAGATCTCATTTGTTCCACTCTGTAGTCTGGTATTATATGGATGGCATTCTTTAAATTTTAACTATATCAACTTGTTTGTCTTTGATTTAGTCTCTGTATGTGTAGAGGATAGTTTTCAGTTTTCCAGGTTTGTACTTCTACCATTCAGAGTCTTTTCTGTAACACGTGTGGTTTCAAGGAGGGTGGGCACACTATGTGTCCATGAATGGCTGAGGTTTCTGTGCTGAGACCGCATGTTTCCAGCATAGGGACTGAGCTGTCATAAACAGCTCATGGTCTATAGTATTGATCAGTGCTCACATGATGGGCTCCCACCCCAGTGGGAAGATCCAGTTAAAGGGATGTCGTGGCTTTTAGATTCATATATGGATTAAAATAAAAAAAACATGGGCTGCCATTGCTGACCTACTTCCTAGTCATGCATTATGATGACAGTATAATATTAGTCCCCTGACTTGGAACAACAAATATGTTGTCATGAATATTGGCTTAAAGTGATACTAAAGTCTTGTTTTTTTTTTTTTTTTCCTTTCAAAATGACAAACATGGCATACTTGCCTGCTCTGTGCAGTAACTTTGCACAGAGCAGCCTGGATCCTCCTTTTTTCGGCTCCCCCGCCGGCGTTCCTGTACATTCTTCTTGATGGGTGCCCCCACAGTAAGCAGCTTGCCATGGGTGCAACTGAGCAGGCGTGCTCCTGAACGATGGCTCTGGGTGTCCATTCACACACACAGCCGAGCCTCGGCCCCACTGCCTCCCTCTCCTGATTGGCTTACTGACTGTGACAGCAGCGGGAGCCAATGGCAGCAATGGCTGCCTCAGCCAATCAGGAGTGAGAGTCCCCAGTATACCAAGTCTCTCCTGAGCATTGCTGGATCTAGAGGGGGCTCAGGTAAGTGTTAGGGGGGGCTCCTACACAGAGGTTTTTCACCTTCGTGCATATAATACATGACGGTAAAAAACCTTGAGCCATTACAACCACTTAAACGTGTTCTGAGTCTGTGACTCAAAATATTAAACTGGTATTAAACCTAAAAGCAAACATTAAATATGTTTTTACCAGTTCTTAAATGTGATGGCTGTATTCGTTTTTTTTTTTTTTTTAGACTTTTTTTTTTCTTTTACTTTCACCTAGTGATCTGCCCAGTAAGTCTGTCATTTTTTAGCCATACACGTTGTTCTACATATGTAGCAGTTAGAGGGTTTAGACAAAATGCTTACTTTTTTCACTGCACACTGATCTTCTCACAGTGTGCATTAGAAGCTAAAGCAAGTCAGATAGAACCCACCTCATTTCCTTATTGGAAGTCAACCAGCATCATCTAGCGCTTTCCTCTGCAGCCAAACTGTCATTAGCTGAAGGCATGAAGACTCAGCTTCTTATGTAGACATTACCTTGGATAGTCTGCATTCAGGAAATGAACACTGAGGTTTTGATAGCATGTAGATGAAGGAAGGAGGAACCAGGGAAGGCAAAACATAAGCAGATTAAACCTTAGCTTTATGAAAGGAATCATAAAGGTAAATATCCAGAGATATATCATTGCAAAACTCCCTTTGATCCAGGTATTCACTAAAAATCATTAAATGTGTAAATTCTACTATATTCTGTGTAATTATTCCCTGCTGGAACATAACTGTCATCTGGCGTATTCTCTGGTACTGAGGGCTGAACTGGAAGCACAGAGAGCACCATGGCATTCCTAGTCCAGGAGGTTGACACATTGCACAGGACATTATATGGTAGGGGAGTGTGAACCATAATACTAACTGAACAGAACTAAAATCTCTTCTGTCTTCCAGAAACAGTCCATATATGTGTGTCTGTAAACCTTGAATTTAGCTGTTTACCTGGAGTTCTCTCTGGAATCAGAAATGAGCAGAAATATTTCAGCCCAATTTGTTTGTCTAAGAATGTCTAAAATGTCTAGGAATATTGGCAGATTGTGTTGATTTTAACCAAAAAAAAAAACCTTTTGTGGCCAGAATCCTGCCCAGCAGTCCTATTAAATCTTAACCTCTGTACACATGAATAGCAGACTTTATAGGTGTAAACCGTAATGGAGAAATTGAGTTCTATGTAACAGTTATATAAAGGATGTTATGCAGGTGGAAGAAAAAGTAGCTGGGGAAAACGGATTCATGACATTAATATGACTATACCCTGTGTCATCAATACTCTAAATACCTTGTTGGATTAACCTAAGTGGATTACACCGGAAGAATCATTTAAATAAATCCATTTGGTAGGTAACTATATACACAGACTCACAGGGGAAATCCAGGCCCAGGCTCGCCTTATCCTAATGACTGTATGTGGATCTGTGACTTATTTTTGAATTTTAGATGAAATGGAGAGAAATAGAAAAAGACAAGAGCAGGGTTGTTGGTTCAAATCTCAGCCACGGCACCTCCTGCCTGGAGTTTGCATGTTCTCCCTGTGCCTGCGTGGGTTTCCACCGGGTACTCCGGTTTCCTCTCACACTCTAAAGACATGCTGGTAGGTTAATTGGCTCCTGTCTAAATTGGCCCTAATATGTGTATATATGAATGTAGGTTAGGGACCTTAGATTGTATGCCCCTTGAGGGTTAGGGACTGATGTGAATGAACAATATATATATATATGTGTGTAAAGTGCTGCGTAAATTGACAGCGCTATATAAGTACCTGAAATAAATAAATATTGTAGAGATAAATCTGCTTGATGAAACCTACAGCAGGTTATATAGATGAAGCGATTTTCTTTCCTGCAATCATGGGTTGCAGGAAAGAAAATCACTCAATTCCCCCATCAACACTGTCCATGTTGGGGAAATCCCTCCCATGGAGCCATTGTGTTCTCCTGGTGGATGGAGCTGTCCTTGCTGGGAGAACACAGTGATTACTACTAGTGGTTCTAATAGCTGCTAGCAATAATTGAGTGTAAAATCTGGAAGGCTGATCAATCAACGGGTACATTCAGCCTTCCCTTCTCGGCTGGCCCCTGCTGAACTGCCTGAGATTGGAACCATCTATGGCTGGCTTTATACAGTTAGGATATTTATTCATACCGCATTTGCAGAAAAAAGTCATGCAATGGTAAATGAATCGGATAATTCTGTGTGATAGATCACTGATGATCAAGCAGTCTCCATCAGTTGTAGCTCCTGGGTTGTACCTGAACTGGGAGCGGCAGGTATGTAATCATCACACCTACTATGGTTCATATATCATTTGTGACAGTACTCTATGCCTAGCAGGAAAGATTTCACTGACTGATGGTAACGGATTTCATGAGCAAAATGAGGCTTCTGAAGGTCCTTACAAGAACGTCCAATGAAAATTTAAAGTGTTACTAAACCCACAACAGTAAAATCAGTCTGCATATGCAGTAAAGTATGCTTGTTATACTCACTGGAACCTAAGGGGTTAACCCTCTGCACTGTGTAAATAGGCGGTTTGACCATGACTTCTCTGATCCTCCCCTTCTTCCAGTGTCCCCCTCTTGTCTTCCGATAAGATATATCATGTGGAGTCACTCTGCACATGCTCAGTTTAGTGTGTATTGCGAAATAGGTTGTTTTTTTTTTGTGTTTTTTGTTCTTTTTCTTGGGAGGGTGCATGTGATCAGCATAGGGCCAATCAGCAATGTCCAGACAGAGGTCAGGGCTACTGCATCCTTACAGAGCAGAATGAAAAAACTCCTCTTACAAGCTTTAACCAGTGCTCTGCTGGACACTGATAGAAGTCACAAGACTGCTCTGACTGTTCTTGTGGCATCACTCCGTCACTGACCAAGCCAATGAGTTATTGCTCCAACTTTGCTCCTTCGCTGGTGATCAAGATTGTCCTCAGTGCCGCAGTCAGTGGGGGAGGGTTGGCTAAGAACGGGTGAGTGCTCTCTTTATTGATCGTTCCTGGCCAGTTGCCAACAGCAACAGAATTGCTTATGTTTCATGGACTTCAATAGAACATCAATAGCCGTGGCATGAAAAGATTTTTGTTGCTCGAAAGCTGTAGGCATTTTTTTTTTTTTTTTTTGTATCTTTAAACCACCTAAATATATTCACTAAAAATTGTTTATCCTTTGTAATTATTACACCTTTGTGTTGTTTCTGTTTATTTTCTCTTTAGGAAGAGTATGCAGTCTATGGCCTGAAATGAAGAGCAGCTGGTGATGATTGGGTATTTCAGAAGACCTGGTTACATTGAGAGACTGAAGGCATGAGGAATGCACAGCCTGCTGTACTGAACGGCTGATTTACCCAGTCCATGTTTGAGCTGCATCACCGAGTTTAAATATCGTTTATCACAGCAGTCAGGCACATGCAGACCTCCAGTGAAGGTTGCCACCATGTCTGTTAGCGCAACAGAGGGTGACATCCCAAGGTTCTTTGTGGGATGTGAGGAATCAGATGAGGGTCTGGACCAAGATAAAGCAGAAAATGTACATAATATCTATGACAACATTGATGACGAGGATGACGACGAGGATGAAGAATATGATTCTGTATGTATCATACACCTAAATGTTCACTACTATTTATTTTAGAGGTTTTTTGTCCATATAGTGGTTATATTTTGCTGCTTTCGATAGTCCGCATTAATCCCACATGATATGATCTTTTCATGGTATGATTTTTCTGATGTCCTGTATCTATATAGAATGTTGAAGATTGCTGGCCAGGATTATCCTATAAAACCTGTATACATGGAACAGTTTCCCGCTGTGCCCTTTAGTATTAGAATGTACTAAGAGGAGGCCACACAGAGCATAACTGGTGAACTAAGGACATACACCCCCTTCCTTTCCCTTTGTGATCCTAACATCCGTGGATTGTTTGCTCTGATTTAGTGCTGACCAGCCATGTGGTGGCTGAGATTTTGATCTGTACATTCCAGTAGGCCAGATGTAAATAAGCATAACTGTGATTTTGTTTGGGGCTAATTATATGTGTAAGTTGAAAAGAGCATTTTTATAATAAACAAAGTAGTGCAATATTTGTAACAGTAGTGCAATAAATTCCACTGTTTGCTTTTATGTATTCACAATTCTTACCAAAATCTTAGTTTTCAGTTGTGCCTGTTCACACCTGAACGTAGTGTCGCTTGAAGCTTTCAGCTAAAAAAAATCATGTTAACTTCTTTTGAAGCTTCAATGGAATATAAGTTAAAAAAAAATAAAAATCTCAAGAATACCTCTTTAAGCACTATACCACCTTGCTGGAGAAAAGAAATGAAAACAAAAATGCAGTTGTGTCCATAGTGATAAATTAGAATGCTCAAAGTCTCTGTCGCTTCAGTGCAGTCCAGTGGTCTGTTCAGAATGAAAGCATTCCAGCACTGTAGTGGTTAATGATACTCTGCTCATCCTAATCCTCCCTCTTGCTTTCTTTGTAGCCCCCAGAGAGACAGATTGTGGTGGGAATCTGCGCTATGGCTAAAAAATCCAAATCTAAGCCCATGAAAGAAATCTTGGAACGTCTGTCGCTGTTCAAGTACATCACTGTTGTTATATTTGAAGAAGACGTCATTTTAAAACGAATGTGTGGAAAACTGGCCACTGTGTGATTGCCTCATTTCCTTTCACTCCAAAGGTAAAGCTCTTAATAGATAGAACTTTTAGCTGTGGGTAGTGGGTTCCTTTTTGGAACAATCACCTTCTTGCAGATGCAGAGCAGATAGAAAACAGAAAAAGCTGTAGTTTCTATGGTTAATCCTGTCTACAGTTGCAGAGCTGTCTGCTTAGGCCAGGTAAATGTCTGCAGGTATCACACTTGGTAATCTGAACATAAGATGTGCTGCCCACACAGTGACTCACTCCTATAAAGCTTTCTAGCGGCTAATCAGATTGACTTTAAAATATCTGCACCTCTCAATTCAGTAATATTACTTCATGGGTTTTTTAGAAAGAAATTTTATATGTATAGTAATATGTGTGTGTATGTGTGTATATATATATATATATATATATATATATATATATATATATAATATATATATATAGTGTTACATTTACATTTCAGGCACGCTATTTACCTGAGACTGCTGCTGAACACTGCCATTTTGAATGTGCTATTGGCAGCCCCAGTATATTCAGAGCTGACACTCAAGAAGTGACACTAAATATATATACACACACACACACCCAAGGTAGAATTGCTGAGCACGTATCTGGTACCACGTTTCAAGAACTTGTACATAATTAAAAAAAAAAAAAAAAGGGCAGTGAAGGGGTTAACTCGGGGGGGGGGGGGGGGGGGGCGATGGGGTGGGGGGGGGGGGCGATCAAGGAGTTAAACGGGATTACTGGTGTACTGGCGGGCAATCTAGCGCTATCTGGGAGGGGCGCTAACACTATCGGAAGTCGCCAGTGACACTGATACAGTGATCAGTAAAAATCGGTTCACTGATCAGTGACACTGGTGACAGGGCAGTGAAGGGGTTAACTGGGGGGGGGGGGCGATCAAGGGGTTAAACGGGATTACTGGTGTACTGGCGGGCAATCTGGCGCTATCTGGGAGGGGCGCTAACACTATCGGAAGTCGCCAGCGACACTGATACAGTGATCAGTACAAATCGGTTCCCTGATCAGTGACACTGGTGACAGGGCAGTGAAGGGGTTAACTGGGGGGGGGGCGATCAGGGGGTTAAATGTGTCCTAGAGTGTTTTAACTGTGGGTATGTGCTGTTTTACTCACAATTTGTATGTCTTCTTCTCTGTCTGGAACGAAATGTGTCCAGGCAGAGAAGAATGACATCATAACCTGTCCTGTGTAACTGTCAACACAGGACAGGATAGGACAGGGACCGATCATCTGATTTCAGCCAGACATCACTGGCTGAAATCGAATGATTGATCCCTCCGGGATCAAATGGTGTCACCCGCGGGCCAGCGGGAGCGTGCGCGCCCCCTGCCTGCGAAAAACGGGAGCGCGGAGCCCGTTTTAAAATGTGCTTTTGCGCCCCAGTGCCGCCCTGCACACGTATATATGCAGTGGCAGGGCGGCAAGTGGTTAAAAGATAAGTTCACCTTTTTGTAAAAAAAATTTTTGCAGGTAAAAAAAAAAGTACATTTATTATTTATTTTAAATTTTTTTTGATTTGGAGCCTAGAAAGCATTGCATTCGTGATCCGCAGATTGTGGGTGCCATGCAGGACACCAGCAGACTTGTCAGTGTATCTGTGTATGCTGGTATTTCGTATGGGTAAGCAGATACACACTGATATGAAGAGACAATGAACTACCGTGTTTCCCCGAAAATAAGACAGTCTTATATTTTGGCTCAAATAACACACTAGGTCTTATTTTCGGGGTAGGTCTTATTTTAGGGGAAACAGGGTACTACAGTGCTCAGCTGGACCGTGGTAGTTCAAAACTTCAGGCTGACAACCGCAATAGTTGTTGGTACTTGTAGTTTTCCATTCACAGAATTCTGTGGGTTTTCTTTTTTAATTTATTTTGACGACTAGTGGGGGAGAAGATCGCCCGTTAGCTGTCATTAGATTCAGCAGAGCGGGCAACAGCTCCGGGAGTGGGAACATGTTACATGTTTCCAAAAGTGAACTTAACCTTTAAGAGTTACAAAATTAAAAGAGTGTTATCAAGTAATAAATGATTGTATAGGTCAATGCAGCCTTTATGTTATATGGATCATGTAAAGTATTCCCAACAGCACTACCATCAGTTACACATCTGTACCATCTACTTATAAACAAACTAGAAATATTCTACCATAGATAACATATAGATTTTATTCGAGGGGTATAGGGGCGCAGCAAGCTATTAGAGTTGCTGGGATGCATGGATAGTCATGTAGCTTAAGGATGCTGTGATTAAGAGCTCTGCTACACCCATTTCCCCTCGCAACTCACTAGGATAACTATGGAAAAAGACTTTGACTAGTAGTTCGGGGATGAAGATGGTAGACCTGAGGTCACAATCAGGGCATGGTTAAATTTGTTTAACAAAGTGCCCTGGGTTTTGGTACTGATAGTTTGTAACCATTCATAGAGGCACCTCCAAGCTCCCTGCCTGCTGTATGTGTCTGGTGGTGATCTAGAATGCTAAGTGAGTACAGGTTCTTTTTAAATCTTGTTTTAATGTAGGCTGTCCCAGTCTTCCCTGCTTCTTTTAGGGAGTTAATAATAAAAAGACATTTGCAATGGTTCTCGTTGTCTTTCAGTTGAAATAACATTTTCTTTTGAAATGTTTAATGTCTTGAATTTTAATTAGGTCTATAAATGTACTCCTTATTTAAGGTTTTCCATTGGACAAAGCAGTTGACTATGCAAAACTCAGGAATCCATTTGTTATCAATGACTTGAATCTACAATATCAAATTCAAGACCGGTAAGTTTTCTGTTGCCCATATCTGCTTTAAAAGATTGTTTAGTTTGTCTGAGCTGCAGGGCTTCTTCCAACATTGGTTTCCCTGACAGCTGAAAGCCCACTTAGGAGATCCCTTCAGCTGGTGTTCATCTTTATGCAGTAAACCACACTGGTAACCTGAATTGATCATTGACCTCTGCCTTCTGTCTAAGTAACTGAGCTACATTTGATTGGCCATGTTGGGATTTTCCAGCCATTCAGCCATTGAGTGTTGCTCCTGAGACAAAGCTGGTGCTTGACATCTTGAAACAGTGCGTTATCCATTCATTGAGTGTATATCTTATATACAGCACATTTGTTAATTAGTGGTTGCCTAGAGTACAGCTGGCTATACACAGATTGAATTTCAGCTGACTCCTGCTGAATTTGTCAGTTAATTTAATTGGTGGCTCTTTCAGCAACGTGAGGCTTAACGTAAACAACATTTTCAGCTGACTTTTGTCGAAGGAGCCAGGCGGAAAATTCTCATCTGAACAGTGCCTGGATCCAGTCAGGTACAGGCGCTGTGCACAGATTCTGTCAGTTGTATCAGCTCTGAATGTTTGCATACCACAATTATCCAAGTGCCATTTAATTATTATAATAGTGTCTGTAAGCTATGATCACCTTATAAGTACTACTGACCGTACTTAGTACTACTTGTGGCAAGTTTTACACTGAATATTAACATGTGTTACACTATTTTTCTTCATGTTTTTCTGTGTTTTTTTGCTTTCTTTTTATGTACTTAAAGTGAAATTCCAGTCAGATCCTAACTATACCTAATTCTGCTCCCACCCCATCTCTATTCTGATGCCGCTTTGGTCCAGTCACATAATCTCTCCAGCGCCTGGCTTCAGTGAAGAGGAGGGATCGCCCTCCACGCCTGCAGAGCCTGGACGTTGACGCCACCCGTCGTAGGCTTACTATGGGGCATCTGTTGTCTGCTGTCCCTCTTCTACACTGAAGCCAGCTCTGGGATCCCATCATGTGACTGGAGCACCTTCGGAATAGGTAAATATAGACATCTTTCTTTGCAGGGTGGTTAGAATAAGGGTGGGAGCAGGTTTAGGTATAGTTAGGATTTGAAATGTTACATTAATTTAATTCTATAATAATCTTGGTCAATTAAACTGTAATAACTGACATTGCAAGTATTATAGCAATTATTGAAAGGAACATATATGAAAAACTAGCATAACTGAGTCACTCCATTTTCTACAAAGACTAATAAGCACATTGTTTTTCATTGAAAGTGCATTTAGTTGGTATAACAATTTAATGCAGTGTTCCCTCTTGACTCTTTTTTTCACTCACAGGAGAGAGGTTTATAGGATCCTTAAAGATGAGGGGATCTTGCTACCTCGATATGCTGTCCTAAACCGTGATCCAAACAAACCTGATGGTAAGTAAAACTTGCTTTATCCAGGGTTTGCCAAGATATGGACAAATGCCTCGGGAGTCCAGCCATGTGTACCAGACAGGCGTTCTGTCCAGTAGAATTAATTTGTATTTGGATCACAAAGGATCAAACTTCCAACACTGCCCAGTTTTAACATAAATGCTGAGGTGTGAGTTAATTGCAACCTATGTTCCTTTCGCTGGAGTAGATGAAGCACGAGTTTAAAGTTGCTTTATGTTACAAAAGAGAGGAGCACCCTTTAAAAAAAAAAAATTGAGTGATGCAGTGCTTTTTTTTCTTGATTTTTTTTTTTTTTTTTTTTTTTTTTTTTTTTTTTCAAATATTTTATTAAAGAAATCAGAAAATAATCATACAAGTCATCCAGTTGTATAATGGAAATTGTTACAGGCAATAACAACAGCAACAGGGGATCCTCCATCAAGTACGTTGAGAGAGTAAGATACATACATAGAAGCAGAGGTTTCTTAAAATATAAACATAAAAAGCAAGAGGAGGGGTATGTCTCGGGTGCTTACTGGCATATTCACCATTCATTGGGGTGGGAAATGAAAGGATAGGGGATAGATGAAAGATAATGCTGTGAAACAAAGATAGTCCTTAAGGGGGCAATCGGAGGCAAAGTAAAGGATGTATTCTTAAAGATACGCAGCTATCAAAGCACTATTAGGAAAAAATCGTGAATAAAAATTTTAAGAAAAATGGTAGAGAAGACTACCACTGTAAGAACGAAAATAAGAGGAAAAGAGGAGAGAAAGTAGGAAAGAATTTATGATTAAAGAGATAAGTGGGAGTAGGATTTCCAGGGAAGGTGATCCTAAAGTGGTCTCCAAACTACACGCATAGAAAATGTTTGGCATAACACTGACGTAGGCACATGTAGGTTTAATTTTAAATGTTGATAGACATGTATTGTTTAAAGAAATCGGGCTCTTTAAAAGCGTCAAGTTCAACCAGGTGTTAATGTATAGGGTAGTGGTTGCTCTGCTAGTGTGGATCAGCCCCGTTCGCTGCAAGCACTAGCATTTAGCAACCTACACTGTTTTTCACGGAAGATTTGTATCAATTAATTGTGGGTCAAAGCAGTTTATACGCCCAACAATACATCGCCGCCCACCCAAATTCAGCTCTTGCCAGACAATTTGCTTGAAAACCTATCACAGTTTCCGATTGTAAAACGTTTTTTGGGCCTATCCCTCAACATGAGCATTACAAAAAAGAATGATTTGCGGTCATATTTGACCACAGACCCAATTCATCATACGCCCATGTTCTCTGCTGCCATGATCAGGCATAGATATGAGACGATAATGCTCTTCGTGCATTTTAATGATGACACTCTCATGAAAAAATAAAAAAAGAACATTGCATATATGCCCAACAAGGACCAGCAACGCACTGGTATGTCGCTGGACTTTGACTGGTTATAACAATAAGATGCTTGCAGCTGCAGGCATCATCCTGGTTTTGTTTTTTTCAGCTGGCTGTTTGGCTTTTATGTACAGGCAATCCTAGTGCTAATTGGCTGCTGAATCGCTTTTACAAGCAGCAGGAAGGGGCAGTCCCTACCCCCGCCTGCCACCTTGCATGACTTTCTCGGCACTCTTATCCCACAAGGGAACTAGAGAATGCCGCTGGCGGTTCTGCTGGCTGACCATTGAGCTGATCAGAGACTGGAAAGGATGCAGTCATCTCTATGGTCTAAGAAACCGGAAGTAATGGGCATTTTATCATTTCCGTTTTGCTGGATATAAACGGTGCCATTTTTAAATTGGGAAAGCATCTGATCACACTAATCTTGGTGTGATCAGTTGCTTTAAAGAGATGGTAAACTGCCCAAATAAATTCTAAAAAATCTTCCTGCAAGTTAAGAGCATAATGTCCTAGTATGCAACGCATACTAGCACATTATCAAAGACTTACTTGAAAACTAAGCCCTCCAGCAGAGTGCTGTCATGGCCCCCCGAGCCTTCCTTGTCAGTCCTGCATATGTGTGAAGGGAGTTTCGGGCACAGCTCGCTCAATGGACATCACACCGTCCATTCAGAGTGTTCTCACCGGCGCTTCTACAGTAAATATCTCCTAAACGGTGCGCATTTAGGAGATATTATTATTATACAGTATATATATATGTATATATATATATAGTGCCAATAGTTTGCTCAGCTCTGTACATTATAATGGGAGACAGTACACGAGACAGTACAGTAATAATACAATACACGAGGGGTTCGAGGGCCCTGCTTCTTGGAGCTTACAATCTAAGAGGGAGAGGAGAGTGGTACAGGAGGAAATAGCTGTGGGGGATGGAGTGGTGGGAAGAGCAGAGGAGATCAGCAATTAGGTGAGGGCTGGGTAGGCTTCTCTGAAGAGATGGGTTTTTAGGGTGCTCCTAAAAGTGAGGAGGGTAGGTGACAGTCTGATGGATTGGGGTAGTGAGTTCCAGAGGATGGGGGAAGCCCTGGAGAAGTCCTGGAGATGGGCATGGGAGGAGGAGACCAGGGAACTGGAGAGTAGGAGGTCTTGTGAGGAGCTGAGAGTGAGTTTTGGGTGGTAGATGGATATCAGGTCGGTGATGTAGTTTGGGGCAGTGTTATGAACAGCTTTGTACGTCAATGTTAATATTTTGAATTTTATGCATTGGGCAATCGGAAGCCAGTGGAGGGATTGGCAGAGGGGGGAGGCGGATACGGAGCGGTTGGTGAGGTGGATGAGTCTGGCCGCAGATTTCAGGATAGACTGAAGCGGGGATGGCCTGTGTTGGGGTAGGCCGGCGAGGAGGGAGTTGGAGTAGTCAAGTCGTGATATGATAAAGGAGTGAATGAGTTGCTTTGTGGTTTCTGGAGTTAGGAACGTGCGTATTTTGGAGATGTTGCGGAGGTGGAGTCTGCATGAATTTGTCAGCGATTGGATCTGGGGCTGGAAAGACAGATTGGAGTCTAGAATGATACCTAGTACTTTGGCTTGCAGGGTGGTGCTAATGGTGGCGTTGTTGGTCGTGATGGAGAGGTCTGGAGGGGTAGGGGGGGGCGCAAGCTTGGGGGAAGACTAGGAGCTCGGTTTTAGCAAGGTTTAGTTTAAGGAAGTGAAGTGACATCCAGTCTGATATGTCATTCAGAAGGCTAGTGATTCGGGTGGAGACTGAAGGGGTGAGGCGAGGGGTGGAGAAATAGATTTGCGTGTCATCGGCGTAGAGGTGGTAGTTGAAGCCGTGGGAGTGTATCAGTTGACCAAGGGAGGAGGTGTAGATGGAGAAGAGAAGGGGCCCGAGGACAGAACCTTGGGGGACCCCAACAGAGAGGGGGAGTGAGGGGGAGGTGGCAGCGTTATAGGTAACACTGAAGGAGCGTTGTGATAGATAGAAGAGGAGAGCGGAGTCTCTGAGGCCAAAAGAGTATCGTTTTTTGAGGAGGGGGGGGTGGTCGACCGTGTCGAAAGCTGCAGAGAGGTTGAGGAGTAATAGCACTGAGTAGTGGCCTTTGGCTTTGGTGGTTAGCAGGTCATTGGTGAGTTTTGAGTAGGGCGGTTTTGGTGGAGTGTAGGGGACGGAAGCCAGTTTCTAGGGGATCAAGTAGGTTGTTGTCGGTGAGGTGGGAGCTTAGGCGAGTATAGGCTAAGCGCTCAAGGAGTTTGGATGAGAATGGCAGCAGGGAGATGGGTCTAAGGTTGTTTAGGTCGGTGGGATCCAGGGAGGGTTTTTTAAGTATGGGAGTGATGTGCGCGTGCTTCAGAGGGGATGGGAATGTGCCAGTAGAGAGGGAGAGATTAAAGATGTGAGTGAGGGAGCGTAGGATGGAGGAGGAGGGTGATCGTAGGAGTTGTGCGGGGGACAGGGCCAAGGGGGCAGGTGGTAAGGCGAGCTTCAGAGAAGACCTTGGTGACCTCTTCAGTGGTAGCAAGGTCAAAGGAGTGGAGTGTTGAGAGGGTTTGAGTGTGGGGAATGTTGGGCGGGGTAGCGGTCTGGACGGTGGCGAGGTCGAAGGGGAGGAGTGTTGAGGGGGTTTTCGTGTGAGGGATGCTAGGTGGGGTGGAAGTCTGAGCAGTGGTGATGTCCCTGCGAATTGCGGCGATCTTGCTTTGGAAGTGGTTAGCAATCTCATGGGCGGTGGGTGAGGTACTGGGTGGAGGTGGGGGGCGGAGAGAGCAGAGAGTTGAAGGTGGAGAAGAGCCGGTGAGGGCTGGAGGAGAGGGTATTGATGAGGGTTACAAAGTAGGCTTGCTTGGCAGCGTGGAGGGAGGAAGTGTAGGTGAGGAAGGTGGATTTATATCGTGTGAACGCTTGTTTGGATTTGGTTTTGCGCATAGTCGTTCTAGTGCGCGACTGCGTCGCTTGAGGTTTTTGGCATGGTCCTTCTGCCAGGGTTGAAGCGGTCGGGGTCTGATGTTTCGTGTGGTTAGGGGTGCTAAGGAGTCAAGAGCAGCTGACAGTGAATTGTTATAGACAGTAGTGGCCAGGGCAGGACAGGGGAAGGATACTGTCGTAAAGTTGGTCAGCTGCAGAGTGGAAGGGGGCGGGGTTTCGGTTGGTGATGGTGTGACGTTTGGAGGGGTAGGTGTATGAGGATGAGGAGACAGAGAAGGTAATGAGGTTGTGGTCAGAGAGAGGAAAAGGGGTGTTTGTGAGGTTGTGGGGGTGCAGAGATGAGCGAAAACAAGGTCCAGGGTGTACCCATCAGAGTGGGTGGAGGACTGTATGCACTGTGAGAGTGCAAAAGAGGAGGTTAGGTGGAGGAGTTGGGATGTGGCCGGGCTATTGATGTTGGTAGGGATGTTGAAGTCTCCAAGGATGAGGGTGGGCAGCTCGGAGGAGAAAAAGAATGGTAACCAGGCGGAGAAGTCGACGAGGAAGCGGGACACAGGTCCAGGGGGACGATAGATTACTGCGATCCTCAGGGGGATTGGAGAGAATAGTCGGATGCAGTGGGCCTCAAAAAAGAAGGATAGAGAGGGAGGGTTTGGGAGGACTTGGAAGGTGCTCTGCAGTG